TCGCGGCGACGACGTCCCGGGGTGACATCACCGGGCGGCCTCGGACACGGAGCTCTGCGTCCGCGGGTGGGAGGAGGAGGCCCGGCGGCCACGCCGCCGCCTCCAGGTGCCCGGGCCGGAGGGGCCCTGCCGGCCGCCGGCCTCCCGCTCCCGGACGGGCCGGCCGCCCGGTCCTCCCGGAATACTGCCCGGTGGGGAGGCTCGCGTTTCAGCTCTTCCAGGCAGCGCTCCTTCAAGCCGATCCCGAAAAAAAAGTAATTCCATATGACTCATCCCGTGTTACCACCAACAGCAGCCACTAAGTGGTTCCTTCCTTCCTTTTATTTTTGATACGGAACAGAGCGAACATAAAAGGGGAAAACAAAAATCCCCGGCTCTGATAGGTAGCACCCGGTCGGCCAATTCAATGAATGAGGAGGAGGATCTGGTTACCAGTTCGGCACATTTCCTGAGTGTGGTTCCTGGTTTTGTTTGGTGGGACCAGAGGCTAAGGGGGGTTCCATCAGCAACTTTTATCCCAAACCATATATTAAATTGCATGGGGCCCTGACCGGTGTGGCTCAGTGGATAGAGCATCAGCCTGCGGACTAAAAGGTCCCAGGTTCGATTCCAGTCAAGGGCATGTGCCTTGGTTGCGGGCACATCCCCAGTAGGGAGTGTGCAGGAGGCAGCTGATCGATGTTTCTCTCTCATCGATGTTTCTAACTCTCTCTCCCTCTCCCTTCCTCTCTGTAAAAAAAATCAATAAAACATTTTAAAAAATAAATAAATTGCGTTGGGTTTTCCCTTCCATCATAACATGGGTTGTGTGTAAATAGAGCTTTATACAGTGGAAGTGGCTCCCATGTATTTCTTTGAGGAGGAGGCTGCCCAGCGGTGGTGGAGGGCTGGGTGGAGGTGTGTGCCTGCGCCTGGGCCTGGTGGCTGGCCATGGAGAGTGGCTTTGGCATTCTAGGGTTCCGGGGCTTGGGTGTCTTCCCGTCCAGGATCAGGGTGGCTATGGCGCCAGCACCCCTCTCAGATAACTATATAGCATTTATTTCACAGTGAGAGCCCTTGTTTGAATGTGCACAAGAAGCAAAGGACTCATATTATGAAGAGGGACTTTTAAGAGTGGGTTTAAGAAAAGAGAAAAGGAAGCTAACAGAATCACCTTTACTTTTTGAATGTGTGAGAGCACAAACTATCAGGTTAGTCGGGTTTATACAAAACAGCAGAGGCTGTAAGTCTTTAATAATTGGCTACTTAGTAAATGCAGCATCTGAATAACTCCAAGTTACAGCAGCCAAATGAATGAGCTCATCGCATAAAGACAGAATATACATCGAAACAACCCCAGGACAAGGTTGTTTTTGCCTTTATGGATTAATCAATGATAAATCAGATCTGCCATTTAAAGACTCCTCCTTGAGGCACTTCCTAAATGCAGCTAAATTTCTATTTCTTTTAGTTTGATTTTCTATGGATGACCCAGAGTTCTCTTCCACTTAAATATGTTCTGATAGACCCACTCTTTTTTTTTGTTTTGTTTTGCATATCGTTTAGATTCCTGAAAGAATGCTTACTGACACTCCATACTGGATTTTTTTCTTTAGTATAGCAGCTTTATGGAAATAAAATTCACATACAATCCTTATATTTAAAATGTACAGTTTGTTGGTTTTAGTATATTCAGGGAGTTGTACAGCCATTACCACAGTCGATTTTAGGATATTTTCATAACCTCAAAAAGAAACCCTGTACTCATTGACATCACTCCTCTCCCTCAGTCCCTCATGCCCCTAAGCCACTAATCTACCTGTTCTGGACATTTTATATAAATGGAATTATACAATTTTGTTCTTTTTGACTTGCTTCTTTCTCTTAGCATAATGTATTCAAGGTTCACCCGTATAGTAATGTATATCAGTACGTCATTCTTTTTGTTGCTGAATAACATTTCATTGCATATATATTCCACACTTTGTCCATTCATCAGTTGGTGGACGTGTTTCCACTTTTTGGCTGTTACGAACAATGCTGCTGTGGGCATTTGTGTACGAGTTTTCATGGACATACGTTTTCTTTCTCTTGGGTATGTAGCTAGGAGTAGAATTGCTGGGTCATATGGTAACCCTATGTGTAACCTTTTAGGAATGCCAAACTTTTCTATAATGGCTCTACAATACTGAATTTTAAAGTATTGTGTTTTAAAATTCAAATTATTTCACAGACTTTTAAACTTAAGTTATTGCAACTAAATGTTGACACATTGAGTAAAAACTATATAGTGGTATTATTATAGTACCTCTCTTTGATATTTCTGATTTTATTTTAACCAATAGGAATAACTTGATGTGTTCTCTTTACTGAATTTTTTCAAAGAGCTAAGTGATAAGATTTTTAACCGTATTTTATAAGGTCTTTATGGCATAAAGTAGTGATTGTTCTCTACTCCAGATATGAGCCAATGAAACAAGATAAAATTGGAAGGACAAAGGGGAGCTGCAAGGAGGAATATTTTGCAGAGCTTTATCTTCCAGTTTTTATGTTTTGTTTTGAGAAAAACTATTTTATCTTTGCAGGAAAGATGAAGAACGAAATTGCTGCCGTTGTCTTCTTTTTCACAAGGCTAGTTCGAAAACATGATAAGTTGAAAAAAGAAGCAGTTGAGAGGTTTGCTGAGAAATTGACTCTGATTCTTCAAGAAAAATATAAAAATCACTGGTATCCTGAAAAACCATCAAAAGGACAGGCCTACAGGTAAAGGATTAGATTGGACTAAGTGAAGAAGCTGATCAGCTCCTGAAATGAGTACAAAGCCAAAGGACTGCAGGGTGTCCAGTCCATGCCTTTCATAGTTTATCTGCAAAATACAGAGCTCTGGGGTGTCTTGGTATTTGTTTCCTTACTTATTTGAAAATACATGTATTTGTTGTGGAGTCCCCCTGCCTGGACTTGGGAGCTCCCAAAAGTTAGTCTACCAGGAGTTAGTCTTCTTGTAGTTATAGTTTGACTCCTGATTGAGTGTGTTCTCTCTATATCACAGGTACTTGGGGGTTTTCAAAATTCTGGGGGACCACCAAAACTGTCATCTATAAAGGTGCATGGTAGGAGTTGAGGGAAATGAGTCTCCTTGAATCTAAAAGTAAATTATATGTTACATGTTTTTTCAAAAAATTAATTTTATAGCAAACAGGAACTAAGCTTATTAGACACCTAATTCGTTCTTGACACAGGAAGAATTGCACTTATACTACACATAATTCTTTATTGTAGAAGCCAATGTAACTATTTTATAGATGAAGGTAACTTACCTAAGATCCACAACTGGTAAATATTAGCTCTGAGATTTGAAC